TCTCTCTCTCTCTCTCTCTCTCTCTCTCTCTCTCTCTCTCTCTCTCTCTCTCTCTCTCTGTGTTTATGTTCTCTTTCCCTCTTCTTATATTCCCCTTTCCTTCTCTCTCTCTTTCTCTCTCTCCCTCCCTTCGCGTTTCGCTGTCTCTCTCCCTACACGCGTTCATCGTCCACATCGTGCAAACATGCACGCTGTCATTTTTGCTGGTCAACGTCCGGTCAGCGAAACAGTCTCTCCTTCTCTCGGCTGCCAACTTGCTGCACGTGCAGCGCGATGTCTCTGTTCCTCTGTCGCTTCGTTCTTGATCCTTCTCCCCTCTCCCCCGCACTCTCCCTCTCTCTTTCTGTCTCTCTCTCTCTCTCTCTCTCTCTCTCTGTTTTTCTCCCATCCCCTGCATCGCATTACGTTGACATCATTTCTTTGTTTCCTCGTCGGCGGCGCCTGGTCCTCTTCTCGCAATTTGCGCCAGAGTGAGACGTAGAGCAGCCTAGAATCGCAATGATAATAACGATGATTGACCTAACGCGATAGCACAGCGAAAGGTCTACTCATCTGCACAGCGTCGTGGGTCGACGACCGCAAACAAGTAGCCGAGGATAATCCCCGCGAAAGCCATGCGTATAGTCACGTGTGTATTGACGCAAGACTTTGCGAAGACGCAAAAAGAATTCGCATTTAGAAACGTGACGATTAAAAAACTTGACGCAATATTTGTAATCTGAGATTCGCACGGCGACTCTCGTCTGTTTCAGAGTTCTTCAAGAAGTTGGTAAAGTGGGCTGAGCAATTCGGCGACATTTATTTGCTTTGGGTCGGCATGCGACCTTTCATCTTCCTCTACAAAGCTGAGGCGGTGCAATCCTTGCTGAAGAGCAGTATTCATATCGATAAAAGTCTCGAGTATGAATACCTGAAGCCATGGTTGGGTACCGGTCTGGTGACCGGCAACGGTAAGTGATTTGTGATTCACTCGCGCGTGCGAGAGGTCTCGCTCTTTTTAGCTAAACTTTCAACGCTTTATAATTTTCCTTTCGCTCATTTTCAAGCTCAGATGTAAGTATATGTTCTTTGAAAGTGCAGCTAATACGCAGACCGACATAAAGACTAATAATTTAAGGCATGGGTGGGTTTAAGTATCCTTGACATTTATTACAACTGCATACTGCAACACTGCAACACGATTATCAACGATTATTTGCATATGCAGCGAACATAGCAATGTGAAGTGATATATTGTTAATGAATGAATTCATGTATTCGTATTTTTGCATGGATAATCTGACCTGTTGGCTAATTTATCTGCCTATATATGTATAATTTATATTTCTATTGCATCGAGTATTGTATCTATAAATAAATATAGATGTACTGCGAGTGTATAATTAGATATTTTTCTTCAGCCTAAATAACTTGCTGTTAATACGACACAATTATGCGGAAGTATTAGTCAATTGCTTAAATGCACGGCCACTTGAGAATATCCTAAAGAATAGAAGTCATCAAATCTACCAAGCCATTAATTGCCAACCGACCCGTCCGTTAATTAGCCATGGTTTACTCTCACGATCACAATTGCTACAATTGTTCTTACCGCAGCATCGGAATCTGGAGGTTCTGACAATTTTAGACAGTTCGCATTGAGATGAGTAAAATGCCAGGTGTCCAAGTCGATCAGTAATCTAAGGCATGGGTGAACTTAAGTATCCTTGACATTTATTACAATTACGTACTGCAACGCTGCAATACGATTGTCAACGATTATTTGCATATGCAGCGAACATAGCAATGCAAAACAATATATTGTTAATGAATGAATTTATGCACTCGTACTTTTGTCACGAAAGATCGTTCTATAGTAAATCGAGTGCACTAAATACGAGTGTGATCACATAAACTGTTCGTCACGTTCCCGACAAGATAACGGTTTGAAACGCTTTTTTTGCCACTTTCACAAATTTGTAACGCGTGAACCAAACAAACTCGCAATCTCGAAATGGCCCGAAATTGAAACCTTCGCCTTTAATTTAAAAAGACAATTTACAATAATTTACAATTTAGAATGACAAAAATGCAAAATTTTATAATATAGCGATGTTATCGGCGCTTAAACACTGATGTCTCTCTAATACTTTAGACACGTGTGCGATTGTGTAAAGTTTGAAAAGGCATCTTGGAACTATTCGTGGCTGAGATAAAAAAGAATTGACAGAAATAAGAACGGAAAAAAAAGATCCATCAATTAGCTTGACTTGCTAAAGAAAAAGTAAAAATTTGGAATTTAAATTATAATTCATGTTCGTTCAATTGAGTAACACGAGAATGAAAACTTAATATGTATAAATACAAAATTTCGTGAGCTATAGAGGAAGCATTTGTAAGATTCTTATATTTAGAAATGTCGAATTAGACTCGCGATTTTATTTCAGAGATCACTGAATCGCTGTCGCTGTCGAATCAGCGTGATCTTTTTGCTCGCATTTTTTATTTCGCATTTGAAATGAGTACGTTTGTAGCAACAAAAATATTGACGTAAACTCTGCGCAAAATCGTCTCTTACGAAACTATAACGTTTATCTCAAACACGTAGCTAAGGCCGATAAAAAACACGTAGACGCTCAAATTGACATTCTTAGATTTCTATTGATTCGTCTACAACTACATCATATTTTTATCTTTTGTTTCAACCGATGTCAGGTGTGTTTTCTAACGTTTTATCAAACGTTCTTACTCCTATGTATTGGTCAGAATATGCCAAATCCGTTAGTACTAATTTATATACAAGAGCCGGAGCAGTTTAATGATCGTAACTACAATGTGGAGTTTCAAAAGTAGCCTTTCTAATTTCTTTTTTTTCGCAAGAAGCTTTGTATCCCTATATGTCATGTCATGTTTATCGGAATCTTCTAAAGCCTGCTTTCGTCCAACTCATGAATTCAGTGATGCGCTTTATATTATATCGATCGAATTGTCTTGAGAGTAAACCCGACGTAATTACGAAAAGATAACTGGTTCGCGAACCAGTTATCCAGAAATAGCTACTCGTCCTTGTCGCAAGCTCACAGAAAATCGCCAATCACCGCTGGTAATCGCGCGACTTCGAGTTCAGCACAGCAAAATCGTGATTTCTGGGCGCGTATAAAATTATAGGAATGAAAAAAAGGTAAAAAAGAAAATATCAATGTTCATGAAATGATCCAGCAAAGCTGGTCTTCCTATGCGAGAGTATGTCGATCTAATGCGCGATCTAAAGTTGTTCTTAAATCACAGACTCTCTATTAAATTTTTTTCTCATCAATGATCAGTTAAATAAAACGGGAAGTGATGTCAATAAGAGATACATCTCGATACATGTATTTTTAGGCGCGAAAGAGATAAATCATTTAGTATTTACAGAATATATCCAGATTGACATTAGATTTTTTTACCGGGATAAATGTTGCATCGTGTACTATTTTCACGTAATTCTAGACAATGTGACGCAACATATTTTCTAAACGACGTCAAATGTATTTTCTCGTCAAAGTCCTCTCAGAGAGATTCATTTCTTGCAATGGGAGTCACGGAGTTATTCGTGACCTTGTAGTATTCGTGTTCGTGCATTGCAAAACTCCAAATCGAAAGGATTTCGTCAATCAACACGCGGAAATCCCGCGTGTGATCGTTCCAACTTAAGCACTGGGAGATGCGAACAGTGCGATAATTATGTCGACAGACTTGTTTTGCGAGATATTAATGTTAAAAATAACAGGCATCGCGGCATAAAACACAGAACATGCACAAACACAGAAGTTATAAGAAAAACGACGACAAGATACACGACGGAATATCGTTGTTGGATCTAAAAATACATGATTTGGCGACCACTAATATCAACAGATTGACAGACCAGAAAAAGAAACGCGTCTCTCCTTGTTAAGGCAGATTCGTCACATCCAGTATCATGCAAAAGCTCGATAACAAACGTTACAACGTCATGTAAATAAATATAGATTTGGTAAATAAGTATAACGATGTAAACACATGGCTATCGCATAGAACGATTTACTGCGTTACTGATGACGTATTTACTTATCTGTCCGATAAATAGCTCAGCTCAATTGGAATGATCTCGAAAGAAATGAAGAAATTTGACACGAATTTTGCCCGGAGTCTCTTTCAAAATCTGTTCTTCTATTAATAAGACCACGAATTCGATTAACAGTCTCGATAAATATATCCAGATATGGGACTGTCGTTCACGCGAAAATGATCAATCTTTCGTTTTGTGCTTCCAGGTGAGAAGTGGCACAATCACAGGAAGCTACTGTCATCGACCTTTCACAGTCGCCTTCTCAACGATTATTTAAAGATAGTTGTGAGAGAAGCGAATGTTTTGATTTCCTGTTTGAAGGATGAAAACGGCAAACCTGAGTTTAACATGGTCCCATACGCAAAACGCGCAACTCTTGACATTATCTGTGGTGAGTCAATAGTCATTGTTACTAATCCAGTGTCTAAATTAAACTCTTCATTACGAATGAACAACTGCTTTAGCGTGTATTTTTTACCAGAAAACACCTTCTTACATATATTGTGTGTCACACTGTGAGTCATATTGAAAAATCTCGATTGGTGTATCTAGAGTAGACTTTAGAAAAATCAATTCAAAATGATAACTTCTCATGCTAAATATCCTTCAACGGGCGCGTCTCATCTTCAATGACTTGTAGCATCGAGAATTGCAAGATTTGCGACCAGTGCTAAATCGCGAATACTTCTTCCGGTTCAAATTAACGGTAACGATATTTCTGTCAGAGTTCTGTCGGCCAAGACTAAGCGGCGATCTTTGCTTTCTCATTATAGGTTTGCCCATTATCCTCGAGTCACTCCTTCGTTCGCGTTTCTTTCGCGCGTTTCTTACGTCGCTCGAAAGTTCGAAGGATGAAAACTGCAAATTATAATATGAATTGCTGCAGTGAATCACATTGTTGTGATAACGGCTTTCGTAATGAATTTTGGAAAGAAATTCGAGAGAGATTTTGTCGCACGCACGCACGCGGCCGACAAAAGTGAGAAGCAAGGACGAAAAGGCGAAAGACGAGACGCGATGCAAAGAATCTCCCTTCGTGTTTTATTAATTTCAATATAATAAGAGAAATAGAATGTCCATATAACTCTCTCAAGTTCGGTCAGTAACAAAATTGGGTTGATAAGAGCCAAGTAAGACGCAGGCCTTGGCAATTAACTCACTATTAAGATACTTCAACAACATCATTATTCTCTGACTCAATAACTAATTAATTAATCGCAACTGTCAGCCTACGTGGCCCAGTTTTTTACTGATGATAAAAAAATGTTATAATGCCATCTCAGGAACGTGAAATATCGGAAAATTGAGAGAACTATACGTTATCGATGCTCGAAATAATTTTATTAGTTCTATATTGTCCTTGGACGACTCGGACCGCGTCACTTCAAGGCGTAAGTGATCCATCAGCTTCGACATTGATAAGCCGCGTGTTCTCGAATTGCACGATTGCTGTATCGGTGACGTTTTATTTTGTAATTTGAAACGTTGATCTCCTCCTTGTGGTTGCGATAACTACTCAATTATCCGTTGCGTTTGCAATAGACGCGTTATGTAATATTTTGTACATTGCTCGGCTTCAAATCCATTCATTTTTCCTCACTCTCGCCGCGTGTAGATTTTCAATCTGACGCATTTCCTTTGTCTGCATAATAGAGGCGTGCGTTTTAAGTGTGAGGAGTGATTAATTACCGTTCGCACTCTAAGTACGTTCGGTGAAACAAAATTCATAGATTTCGCTGGCGCTGTGCAGATCGCTTTTTTTGGCAGAGCAAGTTATAAGAGCAAATACTCGATATTCGTGCAAATAGATTAGAATAGAATAGATAGTAATGTTTGACAATGTCAAACATAATATTGAAGGTTTCATAATCCATAAACGGTTCCATTCTGATTTATGCATTATATATTATTAATGCATTTTAATACAGAAAAAATATTCTTCCTTCATTGCAGATAGCGCTATGGGTATCCTGCTCGATGGACAAACTAATTATAATAATGAATATGTTATTGCTGTAGATAGGTGAGCATTATTTTTATTATTTTTTAAAAAGTATTGAGGCCGCATTCTAGATGCATATCGAATGTTATGTTTTTTTTTCTAACTTGAAGCTAAAAAACAGCTTACGTCATACATGACGTCTATAGAAAAAATATAGAAACCAAACTTTAAGTAAGGCAGTAATAACAGCTGTTGTTTCTTTTCGCATTTTTTTTTCATTACTGTACACATGCTCTGTATTCGTCGCACATAAAGCCTATTGTCCCCTAATGTTATTGTTATTATCGTTATATTAAAAAACGAAACTTAAAATCAGATAGCCACATTTAATGCCTTTTAATTCAGAATTAATGCCTAATATGCATCCAGAATAAGATCCAATACGATCTAACGAACTTTTTCGAGGCGTTAATAATTTGCAGTAATTTCTAATCGTTGATATACCGCTTATGTTTTGTTTATTCATATTGAATTGTCTGAAGTAAAATTGTTAATTGGTACGCGTATTAAATAATAATTGTAAATAAAATCATTGAAAGGCCTCTTTTCTTCCAGGGTTGCTTCTATAATGCAAATGAGGTTCACGAACATTTGGATCTCTTACGATCCAATTTTTAAGATGACAAAGTTGGGGAAAGAACATGACTCTGCCCTTCACACTATCAACGAATTTGTTGGGAAGGTAATTATATTACATTTAATAATAATCTAATAATAATAGTTATTACAAGAATAAAAATACGATCTATGGATGTAAGAAATATCTAACATTACGTTTACAAAAAAATTCGACGTGTATATGTAAATCAATTTAACACTATATATTATATTCAGAGAGAAAAGTGTTGAATAAATAATATATTAATAATAATGATTTTTGGGCATATATATGTTTGTAACGCCTGTTTTACATGGGATATTTCATATATATAGGTTATCGCAGATAGAAAAACAGAATGGTTATCGAAGCGCGACGGAAACTTTAATGAACCAACGACGAAGAAACAAGCTCTCCTAGATCTGCTCCTGGAGATGTCCCATAAGCATACCGATTTCACTGATAAAGATATTCGCGATGAAGTGAACACTTTTATGTATGCTGGACACGATACGACTGCTACCAGCGTCACTTGGACGCTTTACGCGCTTGGACGACATCCCGAATATCAAGTATGTCACGTTGCAACTTTTGATTTTATCAAAGCATATTAAAACATAACGAATTTGCCTATCGATCTATATTTCCTATAGAGTTCTATATAGACAAAATAATAAATAAATCGAATGAATAGATGAAAAATAAATGGCGCGTTATTTTTTCTCGTATTTTAAAGCTTTATCTAATTTCAATGTTCTCTTATTTTGCTTTAGAAAAAAATTGTGGACGAATTCGAGAAAGTAATAGGTACGGAGGAGATTACCTTAGATAACTTGAGTAAACTGATATGGTTGGACGCTTGTATAAAAGAGCAGTGGAGATTATACGCGGTCGCTCCGCTCATTGCTAGGCAAATTTATAAACCAATCGAAATAAGTGAGTATCGCGTTAATTTTCGCTCTTTTTTCTCCCTCTTTCTCTCTCTCTCTCTCTCTCTCTTTCTCTCTCTCACTTTCTCTCTTCTTCTGCACTATTAATTTTAGCGGAGGAGAAATTAATCTAAATTTTGGTTGCGTGTAATCTCCTTTTCCATTCACATTTTACTCGTACGCATTCTTTACTTTTAACAGAATTTAGATATGAAATATGTAATCTACAGAGATATATGAGATATCTTTGTTCTTTCCAGTGGGCAATATAATTCCTCCTGGCTCAACTGTTCTCATAAACTCCTACTTGCTGCATCGCAACTCCTCTTACTTTTCCGATCCGCACGTTTATCGACCGGAACGATTCTTACCAGATAGCCCCAAGATACCTAGATTTGCCTTCATCCCCTTTAGCGCTGGTTCGCGCAACTGCATCGGCTGGAAATTTGCCACCATCATAGTCAAGGTAATCGTTCTGTCGGTGCTCAGGTCTTATCACGTGGAAGCACTTGATAGGGAAGATCAGTTGCGCTTCATATCCGAATTAGTGTTAGTCAACGCAGGCGGGATTCGTCTCAAAATCACATCGCGCGATCAACACACAAATTTGTCTTAAACAATGGAGTTGTCATATAAAAAATTTTGTACAAGTCATAAGTGATGCGTCGAAACAATGAATCGATGACATCGTTTTGATAACGTTTTCTGACTGGAAAAGTTATCTCATGGACTGAAAATAAAAACATGTTTATATTTAAAAACAAAGTCTCCTTTAAATTTCTGAAGTGTTTATATATAAAAAAACCTATTTAGCTCATTTTATATCATATTTAGAGACATCATTAAAGTGTTATTAATATGTCATTTAATATGTATGTAATCCTGCTATTTGAATTCCTTAAAATAGAAACGTGTTTTTATTTATGTAAGTATGTTCCTCTTGTCACTCTATGTATAAAAGTATTAAAATAAAATCAACGTTTAGTTGATTTTTTGAAATTTTTTTCTTTTTTCATCAGAATATCTCAAAATAAAATGTAAAATATTCCGCAAGGTATTCACTTATAGATAACTTTTTATCTTTGTACTTTCATACATAATTTGATAAGAAGATGTATGGATTGACGAGAAAAATAATAACGTAAATTAAGGTGGCGATTTTAAATATCTTACCCTGTATAATTATACACATCTAATTTTGTAAAATCATTTTATTAAGTCCTAATAAACAGCAAGTATTAGTTACATAATATACGGTATTAGGTAACGGTTATATTGTTGTGTGAGACATAACATCGATGTTATCCCAGCGAGAAATTACTCGTCGATTGACGAAACAATGTCGAAACAATGTCGAATTGACGTAGAAATCGTATCAAATGGACGTCGATTAAACATTATTTCGACATCGATTGACGACTCATTTCTCGCTGAGATATTACTGGTACTAAATATTTATTGATTCACTTTATTAATACATTATATTACATTATATAAACGTATAATCGTTTAATGTAATTAATGAAATAATTTTACAAAATTGGTTGTGTATAATTTGTGTGTATAATTATTATTTTACATTTTAATTATATAGTACTATAGTTAAATATATTTTTTTTATGAACAATATTCTTTAAGTTTTGATAGACAAGATTGTAGATTATAAAAGTTTACAAGCTAAATAAATATTTATAATAATAATTTAACATTTCATGTTTTTTAATTTAATTGTGTGTATATATTATACATATATATTGTTCGTGTGTAGTTTATTCAATCGTGTTGCTGAAAAATAAAGTTTGTTTAATCGAAATTGAGTCATACTATTTGGAAATAAACAATCCTCTGACTTATTATGGAATTGCACTATCCGTTCTTAAAAATTTTGTTTTTTATCGTAAGTATATACAGAATGTTATTAGGAATGAGATATGTAGAATACAAAGTCATATAAAAGTCAAAATGACGTCAAATGATATAAAAGTGATGTCATTTTGAGATCAAACGATACCATTTTTGACAATTTATGACATTGATGTCAAAATGATATCATCTTGACATTAAAATAATTTTGTGTTCTACCTGGGTATATTGAGGTAAACTGATAAAAGTTGTCTCCTTAGCGTTATCTTTGATATCTTGATAGACTCGTTAAGTACAAAAATAACTTGTATTTAATGAGAAAATATGATTGTGTATCGTGTATTGTTTATGTTTCAATATAAGAAAAAAGTACATTTGATCTACTATTGAATATCTATTACTACCTCAATTGATGTATAGTGGCGGCTCGTAGCGGAGACTTCGAAACTAACTTGGTAAAAATAACATTAAATCTATCACTACCTCATTTGTTTTTTTAATTGAAGAATAAAGGAGGTACAAAAAGTGTAGTGAATCTAAATGTTCTGCCTATGGTAGTTAATAAGTTACATAAGTTTGGTGTCTCATTATGAGAAAGAGGTTTCTATTTTAATATACTCTATATTATTATAATTATGTCTTATCTTGTAATCTTATCGTAGGCGGTTAGGAACTTTGTAATTTATATATATATATCACTACCTCAGTTTTTTTTTTTTTATTACGTGATATACATAGCCTTTAAGTACATGCTTATTCGGCTTAAACCTAGTTTTACAATTTTTATTTTCCTTACCCTGTCTAATGTTCCTTCTTATTACTATGCATGTGTATAAGAGTGTCTTAAATTATTTGTTTACATAAGTTTCTTGGAATTTGCTTTAGTTTCCTTCTGATGTTACAGTTCGTGCTTTTCGTCCACATTTTGTATGATTTCTAGCTTCGAAAATAAAGTGTTTGTTATCTTATTTGTTCTTATTACGCTAACCAAATCACTACCTCAGTTTTTTTTTTTTTTTTATTACGTGATATACATAGCCTTTAAGTACAAGCTTATTCGGCTTAAACCTAGTCTTACAATCGTTACTTTCCTTACCCTGTCTAATGTTCCTTCTTATTTCTAAGACATGTGTATAAGAGTTTCTTAAATTATCTATTTACATAAGTTTCCTGGAATTTGCTTTAGTCTCCTGATGTTACAGTTCTGTCACTACCTCAGTTGGTCGATGTACACGGTGGCGGCTCGTAGCGGAGACTTTTGGAACTAATTTTACAAAAATAACGGGTCTAAATTATGTGTGCATCGAGACCCGTTATTTTTGCAGAATTAGTTCCGAAGTCTCCGCTACGAGCCGCTATCGTACATATCGACCAATTGAGATAGTGACAGATTTAAGATAATGATAAAACACAATTGAAGCAGCGATCAATTCTACAGAGAATTAGATGCTTTTTGTATTGAAATAGATAGTAAATGATATACGATAATATATTTTATTTAATATGTTTATTATTAAAAATTTATACTACATACTTTATACTATATTTTAGCATATATTATTTCATAAATATTTTATGCAGCTGGGGACTTAACGACGTTTTATAATTCAACAGAATATATAAACTAGCGAAGATTTACAGCTTTTGTTTAATACGTAACCTTAATTTTGTACCATTTCTGCAAATGATAACCTAATCTCGCTTGGTTTTGTTTATTTGATTGCTCGAGTCGCTGTATTGCCGTATGGAGGGGATATGAAATGGTGTGATTGTGCAGAGAAGAAATAAAAAGCCTTCAGAGTTACTTTCGTTCGAAGTGACTCGAAAAGTCTCATGACGAATCCTATTGTATGTGTTAATTATTATGCGACCACGCAACACATCGCATTATCATAGTATGTGAGTCGCTGATAAATCCCGTCAGTCACAATGATAACGATTTGCACGTTGACCGGCGAATTGTGTCTATTCGTAGGTTAAATCGCTCCGGGATTGATCGTAAAGGAAAGAAAAATCTTGATTGATCACAATGCGGACAGCTATCGCGGTGTTCTGTGTTTTTCTAGGCTGTTGTACCAACGTCGTGTTCCTGGAGCTACTTGTCAAGTGAGTAACTGATGACTCGGCAACTCGGTTGCATAACAAGCAGCGTACATAAGCAATGTATATACACTGTTCTTCAGATCTTCTGGTTTTCTGTATTTATTCCTTTATTCATGAATTAGGTATATCATTTTGGCAATTTAACATTACTACAAATATGCTTATCTGTTTCTATACGTATATCTGTATGTACTGTGTATTCCCTCTATTGCATTCATTAGTTATCATTAAGTTGACCTTGTAAATAGATGAGCCAGAAGATAGAGCAATTTTCAAGAATAGAAAAGATATTAAGGTGCAGATTTAATATTGAAATTGATCATTGACCTTTAGGGATGATCCTGGTAGCGGAAATCTTATCACGTTCTCGCAATTTCTCTTTATATCTATTGAAGGATTTTTATTCACATCCAAATGCGGCACCGTTAAGCCAAATATAGGCATAAAGGACTATTTTCTCCTAGTTACAATGTTCTTTATCACCAATGTTTGCAACAATTATGCCTTTGACTTCAATATTCCCATGCCGTTGCATATGATATTCAGAGCTGTGAGTAAATTCACATCGGTACAAAGTTCAATGTTACGCAAACCATTACATGTCTGCATTTTTTCAGGGTTCTCTTATAGCCAACATGATCATGGGAATTGTGATTTTGAAGAAGAAGTACACATTTAGCAAGTACTTATCAGTATTTATGATTACTTCAGGCATAGCGATTTGCACGATCATCAGTGGTAAGGAGATCAAGTCCTTGAGACAGAAAGACACGGAGCATGTGCCCACAACGCCGTGGGAAGACTTCTTCTGGTGGAGTCTGGGCATATCTCTGCTCACGATCGCTCTATTCGTCTCCGCGAGAATGGGCATCTACCAGGAGGTGTTGCACAGTCGATATGGCAAAAATGCGCGAGAGGCTCTGTATTATACAGTAAATTTCCTGTATCATATCTCGACGTATTAATGACGACATTGATGTAACGTACAAATTATTTTTGCAGCATCTGCTACCCTTGCCATTCTTCGTAACGTTAGCACCTAACATCTACGATCATTGGAAATTCGCGTTTGCATCTGAGCCTATGGAATTGCCTCTGATCGGCGTGTACCTACCAAAATTAATCGTATATTTAGTCGGGAACATCTTGACGCAGTATCCTTTTCTCTTGCTACACAAGACTTCAATAATTCTTTCCATTTTTGGTTAGGGTATTTTTCCGGTATTGTATCTACATATTTTTGTATCACGACTATTGGTTTTAAGGAAAATCAACAAATCAGCTATATTAAAGCTTCTGGCCCTTTACATTGTCTATCTCTTTTTAATGACATCAGAAGCGAGATAATGCATGCTAAAAATTTTTGCGAGATACGTTAAAATAAAAATATATATCCATAAAGTAACATTTGCAATCGATTAAACAAATTTGTAAGATATTCCGTGCATTCCCCTTTTACTCTAACAATCAATAATTTGTCGTAAATTGACGTGACATTCATCTTCTTAACCTATTCAGGTTAATTTATAATAAATTATTGATCGTTAGAGCATAAAAAGAGAATGCACGGAATATCTTACAAATTTATTTAATCGATTTCAAGTGTTACTTTATGGATATATATTTTTATTTTAACGTATTTCGGAAGAATTTTTAGCATGCATTTGCTCGTTTCTGATGTCATTAAAGAGAGATAGACAATACGAGAGGCCAGGAGCTTTAAATGCAAATAATATATCAGCTGCATATATGTCGGAAATGGAGGGCGTTATTGGAGTACTGTGTACATCTGTCTGTATGCTGTCTGATGACGTGTAAAACAGACAAATGTATCACAACAATGTTTTTCTTAACTACTTTCTTCCAGGTACATGTGCATCAGTTCTGTGTTTGTGTTAACGACAGAATGCAGTTCACTCACAGTCACTCTGGTGATAACCCTGCGAAAGTTCCTGTCTTTACTCTTCTCTATAGTTTACTTCAAAAATCCATTTACTTTACATCACTGGATCGGAACTTTACTAGTCTTTGTGGGTACGATTATATTTACAGAAGTAGTGCCAAAGATTAAGCAAAGTTTGCAGCCTATACCTAAGAAAGTGGATTAGAGATGTTAACGTTATTAAAAATGAATGCGAACTAAACACCGTGATTCATTTTCAATTATGCAGTAACGAATTCCTCATGGCATTTATGGCGTCTAATAAACAATGCATGAGAGAAATTCGCGAATGGTTATAACACCTGACAAGGTGACTAATGCCGTCCATCAATTTATACAAATATATATGTATAATACGTTTTTCTCTCTCTCTGTAAAATAGCGACAAATATATAATATTTGAAATTTGTCTTTACTATCCGCTGCTGTATTTTCATAATTAAATTGACAAATAAAAATACTCGCATTCTCACTCTTGATTACTAAGATGCCCGTCACATCGTCCTGCTGATCTTCGTAAACTGGTTAGGTAAATATTGGAGATGTTTGGTGCATATCATTGATGACATCAGATATTCCAGTTTAACGCTGTAGGTATATATTCTTGTCTTGTGATATATACGCTTTTTACAATAAATATATTTCTTCTCTATCTCTCTAGTAACAATTTTTAATATAATTCGATATCGGGGCACAGTGTTCGGATGTCATGAATCGTCGTATATCGCTCCACTAGGCTCGTTGTCCGGAGAGTTTCCTCGAAAGACAGAGATGATTGGCGAATGCAGAAAGCAACGAACAAAGCCGGTCGCGTAATTAAGACAAGTTTAAAGAGGTAGCGTATCATATCCGCTGAATCATCCCTTGGCACGCGTGCATAGTCCGTAAAATGTACTACATTATATTTAAATTAAATTAAATTTGTATTTACACACCGTCTACTCACGAAAGGAAGATATACTATCGTATATACAATGGCACGAGTCAACTGTCCGCGCGTACGAGCCACAGCTGTCTGAGAATGCTCGCCGAAACAAACGTCGTACACAGTTTTGTTTTCTCACGATATAAATGTACAAAAATGTAAGAAAATAAAGCTAAAAATCCAAGAAAGGGCAGCGCTGTCGCCAAGCACAGCCTGAGATATGAAAAACGGATTTCATTCCTTCGCTTAACACTAACGAGTGACCCTCACCAAGTGATACACACAGATTTTGTTTCTTCTGCTGTTGTTTCTTTTTTTATTTGATATAGCAAAAAAGGGATTATTTATACAACAAAAAAATTAGCTCGAGATCACTTTCAACGTTCATAGTCCCATTTTAATAATTCTATAAAATATTCCACAAATATTTTAGAAAAACATTTTAGATGCTTCGGACATAAATTTTTTTACTTTCGATGGGTTGTAAGATGGTGACTTCTATTTGACTACTTGACTTTCTATCAAGGACTTTTTGAGGTTGATAGAACTTTTGAGGGATAGATAGAAATATATATTTTTTAAATGCGTTGTTTGTGAAATATTTTATAGTGTTATTAAAATGAGGCTATATAAGCGCTGAAAATTTTTAACTAAACTTTTTGTTGCACAAATAATTCTTTTTTAGGATGTTTGTATCAAACTACAGAAGATAAATAAAATCTGCGTGTATCACTTAGTGGAGGTTACTTGTAAGGGTAAATTAACGTAATACTCTAGTCTATTTCATATTATATATATAATATTACATACGCTATAGTATCGTTATTAATATCGCAATAATAGAAGAGGTACCTTCTAACAGCTACTATTAAATTGGTCAACGCACATGTATAAAATATTTCTGATTAACTTACCCTTGCGTCTACGATTATAAAAGAAAAGAAGATATAACGTAAAACTTCAACTGAATTACACTAACGTGTTCACGCATAACACGTTTCTTTCTTCATCGAGTTCCACTCAAAAGAACTTTGTTCGAATATGTTAAGAAGGAGAGATTAATAATTTTACAGCGCTGAAAAATTAATCGCAATATATAGAATGTTTTCGTCGGTGAACTTATCATGTCTTAAGAGCACTCTGAAATAGAAGGCCACGACATAATCGCGAGAACAAGTCGTACACAGTGATCAATTGTATATGCTTTTGTAATTTGTGAATCTATAAATTGGACGTCATAGCGCAATAGTCGGTCAGTCAGTTCTGATGAGTCTGAAATAATAATCAGTTATATTAGAATAAAACCGATTCGGGTTTCTCCACGACCTTGAAAATATTGGACAGTTCGTCGACCAGTGTTTCATAACGGTAGGCCACCCGTATGTCCGGCACGTTGGTTCGCGTGATATCGTTACCAGCGACTCCTTCCTTCGTATAGTTCGGTCCTAGCCAGTACTGTTTGCTCTGTAACACATTTATTCACATAGAAATATAATAACTAGATTACATTCATAATGTTTGCGCGTTGATTCACGCTTATGTGTGGAACAGGATATAAAGTAAAAAAATGCATTACGCTCGTTAATACATTCATTATAATTGCAACGAGATATGTGTAAACTAGAAAATTACCAGGAATTCCGATAGTAATACTCACCTTATGCGGAAAGCCACTCATGAGAACGGAATTGCGCGCTAGTTCGCACATGTCGCAGGAGCTGAGTTTCCATACCTGCGCGGCGATACTGTATTCTTCCATCAGAGGTTCCTACAATGAATTACATAACATCATATTACAACACAGACTAGATGTCTTTATAATTATACGTTAATACGCTTTGCACGTGAATTTTATGAATAAATTAGTGAATTTTATGAATAAATTTTCTCACCTTGGTAAAATGAAACTGGAGAGGATCGTCCGTGGATAAGCTTATACATAGTCCCCTAGCAAGATACTCTGGAAGCGGATTACGATGATAGTTGAGGAAAAGCGAGTTGTTACTGAGCGGTGACATCGCGATGCCGATTTGCGCCAGGTAATACAGGTATTGAAGCACGGGAACTTTCCTGAGCAGCAGACCGTGCGAAATATTCTCTGCCATCATGTATCCGCATACGAGATGTTGAACGGGTCCGGCCTCGCCGCAATGAGGTCTCAGGACGAATGTATTCAAGCCTTGTTCCCTATAAGTAAATTTATGGCAAGAACATTATGATCAATTAATAGAGTTATAATCAATAATGTTAATTACTTTAGTAAACATCGAATAAACATTACATGTTACAATATTATAATTTTCCCGCTCAATAATGTTACTGTTACCTTATAATGTTTAGACTTATATCTGGGAATTAAAATATCGGGTGTGAATCTAATAAAACGGAGAAACATACGCTCTAAAGTGATTGAGGACAGTCATGTTCGCATAGGTGTAGTACTGGTAATATCCGTAAGGCGGGTTCTCGATGTCGTCCCATTCTGCGGGTGGGCAAACGTCTTTGTCGAAGAGAGGATTCTCAGGCTTGCTTTCGTCGTCCACGGAATCGAAACCTATTACCTGCAACGATAATATCGAATGTAACATTTTCTCGTTTAAACTAGAATGTAATAGGCAAGTAATAGGCAAGTAATAAGCGAATCGAAAAGATAATAGAATAAAATATTATGAAACGTACGTATTGAAGGAATTTATGTAACTCTGGGTGAGAATTGGGATCGTTGGTCACCTCGAACAACGGCAGGAAGATGTTGTTGATAATTTCTTGGAAGTTCGTCATGAGCTTGTTCAGCTTGAAGATATCGCTGCAATGTGAGGCGCGAATGATGAGAGCTCACAGATGAATTGAAAGAACTTTGCGCTCGCATACACAATACGCGCTGAACTTACTATAATCTAGGGATCTGTATAAGCCAGCGCACGTTGTCAGAAGAAACGTCGCCCTGAATCGCCCACTTGGCCAGTTTATCCCATTCCTCCGGGCTTTTGCCGTAAATCGAGAGACGTAGCTCAGCGTTCTGATACTTTGACTCTTCAAGATCGCTCGCAACTTCCTTGATTATGCTTGCAAAGAATTTTCCATTTAGATAGTTGTCAGTCTTAAGAAAAACTTCTCGCAGGCGACTCTCCCCGATAGGATTGTACTTTGCATTGAACTTATCGAATCTATGAAACGTGTTTCTGTCCTGCAATGAAGAAAAAAATTCCGTCGTCATGTATTGAACTTCGAGGATGTGAACGGTAAAGATGTTACTCGCGCGAACACTTACCGCGTGCACGTCTAACATGTCGACGCTCAAATCGTAAGTAGTCAGATTCATAGATTGAAAAACTTCACGGAGCGTCATGGTCCCACCACTCTTCGAACAAGTGACCACTTCGTCCGCGTGGTTCTTCAATGTTTTCTTGATAAATCTGAGCAGGTGCTTTTGATTCATGCAGGAAGCCGCGTGTATATGAGTATCGACCTGTGAAATCAGTCACGAAATAATTTAATTCAATCATCCACTGATGTATGAACAAAAAGCTCAACTTGAGAATGTCCATGTAAATATAATTTCTTTCACTCTCAGATGATTTTCCAAGCGATAAAAAGGAGTCTCTCTTTTGCAACAATTTTACTTTATATAATTACAGCGAAATTACACATGCTTGCAGTAGACCCTACAACTTATGTGCGTACTTGCAGTACTGAACGTACATACCTTTCTGATATTATAGAAGTCCCTGTGGGGTACGGCCTTCTGACTCGCCAACTCTCGCAGTTCATTCAGCAGCACGTGTAATTGGTATTTGGAGGAAAGGTAACTCAGTCTACGATAGCAGAAGGATTTCAAAGGTCCGTCGGCGATCATCGTGCACAGCTGGTTCATGTCTCTGACGAAAGTTGCCAGATCCGGATATGAGTACGGGATCGGTTTGCCGTCAGCCAAATCCTCGTCGTTGGCGAAGACATTGAAGACGCCATTGACGGGTGCAATCGTGTAGTTCTTCGTCGGCGGGAATTCGCATTCCCACGGGTCGCCTCG